GATAATGATTTTCCCCCTAAACTAAACATTTGAATATTGTTTACATGTTATGTCTTTAATCATCCTTTTATTTTTATGCTTTATGTGTCTTCTATTTTTTTTTTTTTTTTTGGAGAGGTTTTTTCGCTATAGGGCGCGTGCGCTCGCCAGACAGACAGAGGGAGACAGAGAGACAGAAAGCGAGAAATCACCCCCCAGAGGGGACGGTCACGCCGCAATCCCTTCTCCTCCATTCTCCTCTTGGGATCTTGGGCACGCACGCACACGCGCCCGGCGTGAGTTTTAAGCCACCGGGTCCGGGACGCGAACCGCGGTCGACTACGTGGGAGTCCAGCAACATAGCCATTACGCTAACTGCTGGTTCCCATGTGTCTTCTATTTCTTGTTTTTCTCCTCTCTGTAATTTTGAAAGTAATGCATTCTATTACTGTTCTCTTAGTTGTTTCTCTAAGAATTATACTATACATTATTAAATCATAAGAATGTAAGGGTTATTCAGTCAATATTTCATGGTATTAGTCTTAGGAAAACCACTAGGAAAATTAGTGTATGTTATGTCCTAGTTACCATAAGGAAGAAATGAAATAAGTAAAATATCTAATCCAAAGAAGAAAGGAAAGGACGAAAAAAAATTCAGAATACACAATATGAATAGAAAGCACATAGTGATAGATTTACACCCAAATACATCTACAACTACATTAAATTAAAATTGGCAGAATTATCCAGATCAAAGAAAATTACTGATGCATATATTTCAATGAGGGTGTGCATATGATGCTTTTAAGGATAAAAAATAACCTTCCATATTGACCCACAAGAAGAACAGAACAGTGCAATGATTTCCAATTGTCTACAGAGAATCTCAAACCCTTGTCCTAGAAGCCTCAGGGATTGCCCTTCAACATCCTGGCATCATCTCATCAAACCCTCTGTGAACCGACTGGATGTTGCTGACTGCATTCTCCCTGGACGTTACCAATTTCAAAGTCTTGGCTAGTGACATTTTTTCCTTCCTAAAATGTGTTCTTCTTTCCTTCTATTTGTTTAAATCCTATACTTTTTGAAAATTCTCAGAACTGGTTTCTACTTTGATTCCTGCAAGGTAGTTGCCCTTTTTCTGTAGTTTTGGCCCTCTGTTATCATATGCTCTCTCAATCCTTGTAGCCGTTATTGTCTCTTACTGCTATGGTTCTTAGATGCTAGGCTATTATTTGTCGTATTTGTCTGATTAATTGTTTGCTTGAGTATTCAACGAGATTATAAAACATTTAACATACCCTACCATTAGCATAAAGCCCACACTTAACCTTACTACGCCTTCACTACAGTCTTGAGATGCTACTACTGATGATGCTGATGTTAGTATAAATGACATAGTGGCCGTGGTGGTCACCACAAAGACCACAAGTCCGAAGCACCAGATGCAGGAGCTCTAAAAATGACATGAATTAGTTTTTTTGTTAGCTGAGCTACATAATATATGGGTCTTATCAATCCCATTGGAATCACTTGGGAAATGACATATTAAAGAATACATTCTTAGAAAGAGAGGATCATACAGCACAGGAAGCATGAGCTACACCTCTTGATTAAGCTGTATGACTTTAGGAAGATCACTTAACACCTCTGAGAGTTCAGCTCCTTATCTGTAACATGGAAGATATTATACCTATCTTTCTTATTTAGAATGGTTGAAAACATCCAATAAAATAATGTACGTCAAAGTGCTTAAGAAACTGTAAATATAAAAGATCATTATATTAAACATTTATTTAACATTGAATTATTTTCCCTGTGGACTTTTAAGACTCTCATAGAAAACATAAGAAAAACAACTGTTCAGTAATTATTATTACAATAATTATATTTGGATCCTGCCTTTTTGTGTTTCTAAGAGAGTTTTATGACTTTGATGTCACATGGTCATAAGGGAACCTTGAGTCCCAAATGAGACAGGTATGATTTAGTAAATGTTTGCAAGGCAGGTGGTACTGGCTAAGATTAGTGCTATTGAAATGAGATTGCTTTAACACAGGCTTTTTCCTACACAGCAGTTTTACTAAGAGTTGTTCATTTAGTGGGCTGTGTTAATTTTTAGCAAAACTTTCTCCTAATAAGCAGGTATGTAATGATTTCAAAGAAACAAGTCATATTTAATGCCCACAATGTCAAGGCATTATGTCAAAACTTCTCTTCAGCCTTACACACTGGATTGCCGAACGTATTGTGTATTATGTTAATTTCTCAAAGAGACCAAGAGGTCTTGGAGGGAAGTGGACCAGAAAATGCAGATAATTAGGATGTATAATTATGCAGGTAATTATGATAATTATCATCATCATCATCACAAGGTTGTTTACAAAGGGAAAAATCCAATTTTAAAGAAAATTGCTAACTTGTGCTTTGCAAGAACAGATTAAAAAATGAATTGCTTGCAATTTGGTGGTGGTGGGGGGTGTGAACTAGTCTCATTTCAGCTTTACCACGAATTTGAAAGTACAGTATATAACATGAAATCCATTTTTACTGAAAGGACATCTTGCAAGAAAGGAACAAAAAAGAAAAGAGCGAACAAACAAACAAAAAGCTGACTTGCTCTCTGACACTTTTCTGTATACCTTCAAGGTTCTATTGGTATTAAAGAAGATGTGGGTGCCTTCTGTGGAATCTAATTATTCTATAAGAAATAGACTAATAAGCATTTACTGAGTGGTCTCTATGAGTATAGTACAAGGGCTGAAAGGTACAAGAATTCAAAGAAGTAGGACTTGCTTATCTCTGGGAGGATGGAAGCCCATTTGTAAGGTATGGCAATGGTAATAATCCTGGAACAGTCATGGACAGTTATAGGGAGAGCATGACAGGAGTTTGAAGAAAGCAGGGAACTGGTCTATCTCACCCACAAGACTGTAAGGGTCTTGGAGGATAGAGTTTGTACCTCATTCACCTTTCTATTCACCTCCTCTATCTCACTACTCTCATCTTCTTACTCCACTTTCCGCCAGAAATAATTCCAGGCTTGGACTTGAGTAAGTATAAAGCTCTCATGGACCTCTATTTCCTCACTAGTTACTTTATTGATATTTTAAAGTTTTCCACCATGTGTTGTTCCTGGTGTGTGTGTGTATGTGTGTGTGTGTGTGTGTGTGTGTGTGTGTGTGTTTTGTCTCTTCCTTTGGGATTCTTTTCTCAGCCCTCAAGCTACATTAGTAAATGCCCTTCACTTCCCCAGGGGACTGGACTTATTTCAAAGGTCCTGTATCTTTTTTTTTTTTTAAAAAAAGAGATATTTTGTATTGGGTGCATGCGCGTGCCAGAGAGACAGAGACAAAAAGCGAGAAATCATCTCCAAGGGGGGATGGCCACACTGCAATCCCTTCTCCTTCATTCTCCTCTCAGGATTTTGGGCACACATGCACAGGCTCCCAGCATGAGTTTTAAGTCACTAGGTCTGGGATTCAAACCATGACCAACTACGTGGGAGTCCATCAACATAACCATTATGCCATCTGCTGGGCCCAAAGGTCCTGTATTTCCATAAGCCCTAATTCTTTTTCTAATTTACAAAAAAATATATATATTTATGATGCTTTGATATACCTAGGCAATGATTAAATCAAACTAATTACATATTAGGTCATCTGAAAAGTCATGATGCATTTTCGTGTAGAAAAACATAGAAAATACATCACGACTTTTCTGATGATCCAATATTTATAACCTCACTTATCTTTTTTGTGGTCAAAACATTTAAAATACAGTCTTTGAATAATTTTAAAATGGACATTAACTATGGTAGATCACCAGACCTTATTGCTCTTGTCTAAGCATAACCTTGTACCCTTTGATGAACATCTCACCTTTTCCTATCCCACCCACTCATCCACCCCAGCCCCTAGTCAGCCTCATTCTGTTCTCTATTTCTATGAGTTCAGCTTTTTTAGCTTACATATAAGTGGGATCATTCAGTATTTGTCTTTCTGTGCCTGGCTTATTTCACTCAGTGTAACATTCTCCAGATTCATCCATGCTGTCAGAAGACAAGGTGCTTCTGTGGCCTGATGTGCAGAGCCAGTCTTATAGAGGAGGTGGAGGGATCCCTGCAGTGCCTGGTCCTCCTGGCAGGGAAGGACAGAATTTCCCATTTAGTGGCTAGCATAGGGTGACAATAAAGCCAATCTCTCAAGCCAGGATGTTTGTGAAAGTGAAAGGAGGGGCTTGCTGGAATGGATAGAAGCTGACTAGCTGAGTAGAAGAAGCTAAGAACCATCATGGTAGCTGTGGGCCAGGTCATCCTCATTAGTACTGAATCTTCCAGAGATGATGCCTAAGTGTTCCAGGAGAATGGCAGCCCAGGATTCAAGCGTCCACGAGTCAGCCAACATAGGGCGTGCTTTCCCCAAAATTGGGTGGAGGCTGTAAAATTATCTTTCTCACTTTATGTATAAAGCACAGAAACACACACAGGACATAGGAATTATGTTTCTGTAATATTCAAATATCACAGAAAATTAGGAGAAGATATCAAAGAACATTCATAGAGGGTCAGTTCTAAAATTAAAAAAAAATAAAAAAGATTAAGAAACAATAATATAGGAAAATGCCCCAAGTAAGAGGCCAAGAAATAACAGGAACTTAAAAGAATAGCTAGTGTTAAATTCATAGAGTCTGTAATTGAAAAAGAAAGGGGTTTGTGCAGAGCCATGGAGTCGTCAGATCTGGAAGTGGCAGTGAGAAAACACGAAATTGCACGGCAGTCCAGGCCTGAGAATGAGCAGCCCCCACACAGATGGCTACAGGGAAGCTGCATCTTGGGACAAGGCCAGGTTTCCATTTAAGTAAAACACCCCAGTGTGTGTTTTGTAAAAATTGAATATGTGGGCATGGTTGTTTACAGTGGAATAAGGTTTCAACAGAATCTAGTGATGACTAAATCCAAATGATTATCATATTTCATAAATGTTGCATTCACTGAAATATTGCTATTATGTAACCAGGTGGCTACTGAAATTCATCAGAGGCTCATGGAAGAAGAAAAAGAAAACCAGCCAGCAGACCAAAAAGAAAAATCTCCTCTATCCAGTGCAAATAAAAAAGCCAAAAAAGAACTGCCCAAGAAAAAAAAAGAGGACAAAAAATTAAAAGGTATTTTTTGGTTTTAACACCCAGAACCCTGGGTGCTTAAACCACTCCTGGGTAGAAAACAAGCATTTAACCAGGTACATTAGTCTTTAAGCTACTTGAATACTGTTCATTAGGTTTGATCTAGAGATCTGGGCTTCAGTGAGCTGTGGTAGAAGCTGGCAAATCATGCTGGACACCAATCTCGCCGAACTTGTTTATCCAGATGGCCTGATATATCCAGGGTAAAATAAAGTCAAAGACTGTTTTGAACAGATTCAAAGGATTTCCGAAATGGCACTATATAATCAGATGTCTGTGCAAAAAGCTGACACTTGCAATAAACAAGAGAAATTTAAAAGGTTTATGTATGTAATTTCCAGATATGCTTTAATTCTAGCAAATCCTTCTCTTTTGGAGGCCTCCTGCCTAAATCTCTACCTCTGAGACATGATGGAGAAAAAAGGAGGAAAGAAACCTCAGGCAGAGAGACCTCCAGTTTACCTTAGGGGTAGTTCTGGCACAAGCATTACCCTGCCCTCTGAATGCTTCTACTTGGACATTTTAAGAGAGGAAGAAGTGGGGAGAACATGAGCAAAAGCTGCTCCCCTTATCAATTGCTTAAGATCTCTTTATTAAGTACCTGCTATATGAAACGCTCCATGGTGGGAGACAAGGCTATGACAGTGAATTAAAAGCAAAAATCAAGACCGTGGTCTTGGCTCAGATTGCACTAGTTGAGCAGTAGATTCAGACCTTTGACCAATTATTATTTTTTGATAGGGGACAATTAGTACCTGAGATCAAGCCCACCTTACTCCATCTGAGGGGCACAGGAGAACACTTCGCAGATAGAGTACGTTTACACAGCTGAGAGTCAAGTTAAGAAAAAGCTCTGAGGATGGAGGAGGGGGTGGTTGATGATACTTGAAACAAAGGGAAGAAAAATTGCTCAGTAAATAACATATTACTTTATTTTATCTCAGATGGTATATATATATATATAAATATATATACACACACATATATATTTACCATCTGAGAAAAATATATATATATATATATACATATATATCTCATATTCATATATATATATACATATATATGAAAGCTTTTACTCAAATTATACATATGTATATGTGTATTTGAGTAAAAGCTTTCATTTACTTTTATGGAATAACTGAATCCAATTCCTTAATTTTATAGATGATAAGACAGTAATCTAGAAAGTTTACTCTCACCACCTATTACTTATACATACCTCTGTTATTGCAAGAACCATATCTTCTTATAATTTCTTCATTCATGTTTATGTCTTTTTCACCAAACTTGAGCCCTTTTAGGTCAGACCCTCAGGAAATATTTGTTTAACTGAGTAGAATTATGTAAACAACTAGGGCCTGAAAACAGAATCACAGTGCTATATTCCATGGGTAAATCCTCAGACAAATACTAATGAATTCTTATTTTCTGATTCTCTTGCACACTGAGATACTTTTAGTTAAGTACTAATTAAAAGATAAGTAACAGATACTTGATCATTACCTACATTCCAGCTGTATCCTCAGGAGGATATTACTGGTCTTTTCTTGGTGTAAACCTGGGAAACAGCTTGCTAATACAAGCCGTCCCCACAGAGTAGTATTTCTGCATGTGGAGAATGGCATCAGCACTATATTGAGGTTTGCTCATTTCTGTCAGCAAACTCTGAATTTTATCACTTTGGGGGCCATAACCTCCTCTGCACTCGCTACACACATCAGTCTGGGGATGTTACACAAATGACTTATTTTACATCAGTCTAGCCCAGGTACCACATGAGAATTTCCAAAGGACTGTTGGTACTTTACTACTCACAGTGAGAGGTTCAAGCTTCCTTGTTTCTAAATCACAGAGGTTTATAGCTCTACAGTCTTTGCCTTGTACTCATTTTGCCCAAGTACGGTGTATATTCTTGTATGTTGGTAGTTTACTCAGCACATTGCATTGCTTTTTCAGGTATATCACCATCTGTAATAGAATCCTTTCCTGTAATAGTAACACAGGAGGAAATTGCTGAAATGGAAAAGAAAAATGAACTGAGACTCAAAATAAAGGAAGAACATCTTGCTGCCCTGCAATTTGAAGGTAGCAATTGGAAACAACTAAGATGTTTTTCAGTAGAAAGTGGACCAGTAGGCAAAAGACCCATAGTTGGCTCTTCAATTGCCTCAGACACTGTTTATAACACAAAGCAAATCAACTGAAAAATACAACATTGAATTGGTTGCTTTCCCTTGACCCGACAAGCACCTGATTTGACTATTGTATGAGTCAGTCGGGTGTTCTGGCATCATCTGAACAGACTTAATTAAATTAAAGAGGCAAAAGGAATTCAAGAAGGGGTTAGAGGAGTAACAACAAAAGTAAAAACTCAAAGGAAAAAAAAAACGAAAAATGTTTAGAAGTCGATGCGATTTTTACAGGCTTAGGTAGAAGCTACGTTAAGTAACTGATTTTATATTATGATAAGAATAAATTAAGCCTCTCATTAGGAAAATAAATTTGAATAAAGGTTGACATGACCTGAAAGTGAGTTCTTGGGAGGAAAGGCCATAGAAGAGCCAGTCACATACCCCTTTTTTTCTTTTTTCTTTTTTTGGAGAGATTTTTGCTATAGGACACATGTGCTCGCCAGAAAGACAGAGAGAGACAGAGAGACAGAAAGTGAGAAATCACCCCAGGGGGATGGCCACACCACAATCCCTTCTCCTCCACTCTCCTCTCAGGATCGTGAGCATGCACGCACTTATGCCTGGCTTGAGTTTAAGTCACTGGGTCTGGGACTCGAACCGCAGTCAACTACATGGGAGTCCAGCAACATAGCCATTATGCTAACTGCTGGTTCCATATACCCCTAATTTTAAGGGCCTTCTTCTTAGTAGAAAGCAGTAACCTTACAATGCGTGGCATTCTTATGGTTTTCTAATTGCCTTTAATGCAATTCAAAATAGAATTCAGGAAGATCAGGAAACTGAGCAAAAATACAGAAAGGGGCCATTATAAATATGTAGATGACAAAACCGTAAGAATGCAGAATTGGGTAAGTTGGAAGACTTCTAGCTTCTCCACGACCATGAACTACTAAGGATGCTTTCCATCCTTTGCTTCTCCTTTTTCCTTTCCCCTCCCCTTAGCCTTCCTCCTATCACCACTTGCTTTTATGATCCCAACAGTAAAACCTGAAATCAGTTGAATACAGGGAGATCTATGACATCATGAAAGTCAGGACACATACTTCTCCCTCACTGCCTGTTCCCACAGCTATTTTAATAGTTTTCTGTTCCCACAGCTGCTTTAATAGTTTTCCGTATACTTCACCTTCAGTTCATTCAACACTGATCTCTAATTCAATGAAATTCGTTCATTTAACAAATGTTTATAGAGTTTTGACTGTATACTAGAAACACACACATATGTGCACAAACATAAAACAAAATATGAAACCCAATCCAGAGGAAGGGAATCACTTATAGTATGTTGTGATGTTGATGACAGGCATACCGGACAAAGTGAGTACAAGGGAGAGACAAGAGTGATTTCCTGGGTGAACTGATGCTTGCACTGTACTGGAAGGATATGGAGAAATTTTCCTGTCCAGGGGGCAAACTGGAACAAGAGTGGCACATGGTTCTCTTTTCCATTTCTGCCCTAATTTGTCCCTGCCCCTCTTTTTTGAAATTGAGATGCTACCTATATTTGTTTTTCCATTCCATTTATCAAAGAGTATCTTGCTATGAAGTGCAACAAATGTAAAGTTCAATCATAGTTTTTATTTAGATAATTTTTAAATGACTTTACCATACATTACATTTTGCTTCTCAATGAGATGGATAAGATATCATCTTATCTACATTGGTATATTAAGTATGTACCCAAAGGTTCACAATTTGAAGCATTATGGGTTTAAAAGTGAGTTTGGTTTATCAGAAAATGCATGGACAGATAATACATTGAAAAATGTTTATTTCTCTTTTTGAATAGAAATAGCTGCACAATTTCGACTTGACTTGATAAAGACAAAAGCATTGACTGTCCTTGAAGATTTAGTGATAAAGGTGGTTGATGTGTATAAACTTATGGAAAAATGGCTTGGTGAGAGGTATTTGAATGAAATGGCCAGGTAAAGTACTAAGTGTATTATTCTAAGTATATTAAAAATACTCTCTATTAATTCCTGAATGCCAAAATTGACAAAGATTTTTAAGGTGTTTACAAGTTTAAATTACATTTATGAATATAAATTTTGACCTTTTAGGAAATCACATGTGACGTGAGCTTTACTATCAGATTTGCATAAAGTATTTTCAAACAGCATTATGTATCAAAGGATTCCATTGGAATATCCCGTTCTGTACGTTATTTTCAAGCTCAGTATTTTTTTTTTTTCATTTTGCCATAGGGTATGTGCACTTGCCAGAGAGAGAGACAGAAACAGAGAGAGGGAAAGTGAAAAATCACTACCTAGAGGAATGACCACACCCAATCCCTTCTCCTCCATTCTCCTTTTAGGATTTTGGGCATGCGCACACATACACACATGCCCAGCATGATTTTCAAGCCCGCAGATCTGGAGCTGGAAATGTAGTTGGCCCTGTGGGACTCCAGCACCTCAACCACCATACCACCTGCTTGCCTCACGAGTTCAGTTTTCACACTGGTCAATGAGAACCTCAGCTATAAAATGATTTTTAAATATTTTTTGGAAAATAATGCTTTATATCTTCCTAATACCAGACATTATTATTATCACTCAGGACCAATTACTAAGAGGCTGAGGAGTCATCCATTAGAATGTTTTATTTTTTAGGCTAATTCCTTTGTAAGGGCAATTGCAAGTTCTATTTTTGGTAGAATTCCAAGACTTGTTAGACTCTCATTGCTGATGAAGGGCAGTTGAGTCTCACCCTTGTTGAGTTCTCTCTTAAAAAGCATAATGAAGCAATTTAGCAGAGTGGAAATTGCCCTCACAGGAGAGCAGATTGTCCAGGACACTAAGTATCCTACATTGTCTGGGAGAAAAAAAAGAGAGAGATTGAGTAGGATGGCTGATTGTGCTCATCAGCTTCATCTATAAAAGGAAACAACACTCTGGCCCAGCTTCTTGAGGTTTCTACTAGATCTAGATTCTGTGATACACTGAAGTTTGCAATAAACATTTACTTAAAATGTAGAAGTTACTAAGTAAATGGGATTCAAGTTGCAAGGATTCTCAGAAGCAGCAATTGCCATATCAAAACAGTTGTTGTGGTTTGTTTTCTCTGGTCTTTGTCTTATGATGAGAGTTCTGCTGTAAAATCTTTGTATTTTCAGACATTTTTTCCCCTCGGTTCTTGAGAAGGATACTGTTAGTAACCTTCCACCAGGTGGCGCACACCTTTTTGATATCCTGCTTGGGAATGGGTCTCAGTCAGCCTTTGGAGTCCCTTCCTCACTCACCTAAAGCCAGTAACTACCCAATGTCCTTCTTTGCGGTCCCTCCTCCCCCACAGCACACAAATACTCTAAAGCATAAACTGTTTTGCTACTGCAAACTACATAGAAACTCACCAAGTTCAAAGAGTTGGATTCAAGGGGATCTTTTGAAAGGCGACAACTAACATTATTTTTTAAATTTTCAGTATATTGTGTATTAAGTTGTTGGGAAAGTCATGACATATTTTTCTATGCAAAAATCCATCATGACTTTCCCCATAACCCAATAGTATATTTGGTGTTTCTGAATAACATAAAAGCATATTAAATATGCATTTCTCTGTGATATTTAATCTTTTCTTATAAGATATTAACAATTTCTTTCCTCAATGCAGTGATATTTTACTTATTCACATAAAACTTCCCTGATCTTTAGAATGGCCTTTAATCACAGTATAAGCTATAACTATATCCCCAATACAGTTTAACTCCATGCCTTGTGTGATTTCACATTGATAATCATAAGGTAAGGCTAAGGAAGTTGCAAGGATTAGGTAATTCCAAGAGCTTAGAAGATCACATAGGTAGGGTGTCCTAGAAAGAGAACTCAGCATTTTTCACTTTTATGAAGTGCAGCATACGAGTCCTAAGTGTTGCTGCTTATGGCCATATGATCTAGCTGGAAACTGCTCTTTTTCATAAAGATAGCAAAGCAATTTCAATGACTTATATGCATCAAAGGCTGTCCTGACAACCATGTCTTAGATAACTTCAAACTCCTTGACATAAAGTTAAAGAAAAGTCACTGTTCTAGAAATATATTATCATATTTGATTCACTTTACAATTTGTCCTAATTTTAGATAAATGTTTTATTCTAACAGTCATACCTTACAGGGTATTCTAATATGTAATCTTATTTTGGTTCATGCTTAGAATGAAATAGAACCCTTGACATAATCTTGCTTACATAGTAAAATACTTTCTACTACTACTTAAAAAAACATACTTAATGGATTCTCTTTGTGTTCAGGTTTGTTTAAAATGTGTAACCATTAGCTATACAGTAAGCATATGTTTTGTTTTGGGGTTTTTTTTTGTTGGTTTTTGTTTTCTTTTCTTTTTTTTAAAGAGAGGTTTTTGCTATAGGGTGCATGCATTCACCAGAGAGACAGAGAGAAACATAGAGACAGAAAGAGAGAAATCATTCCCCAGAGGGAATGGTCATGCTGCAATCCCTTCTCCTCCATTCTCCTCTCAAGATTTTGGGTACACACACATACCAGGCATGTGTTTTAAGCCACCAAGTCCGGGACTCGAACTGCAATTGACTACATGGAAGTCCAACAATGTAACGATTACACCATCTGCTGATTCCTCACTGTTTTTAATCTGCATTTATTTATATCCTACCCTTTAATGAAACTAATTTGAGGACAAATAAAAATTTTTCAACTTTGCAGATCTAATTGTCTAACCTAGCTATGTAATGGGTACACTTTTGTGTTATGTTTTATAAGTAAACTATTGATTAATAGTAAAATTAATGGGGATAACTATTCATTTTACCACTTTCAGTGTAAAAAAATTAATTGAGGTAGCTCAGTATCACATTGAAACATCCACAAAAATTCAGAATGAACTCTACTTAAGCCAAGAAGACTTCTACATTAACGGAGATATCAAAGTCTTCCCAGATCCTCCCCCACCGATTCGTCCTCCACCCATAGAAAAGGAAGAAAATGGCACCTTGACCATTGAACAGCTTGACAGTCTTCGATATCAGTTCTTAGACGTGGCACCCAAAGGTAGGAAAAACAATTATCATGAAAAAACAACGACAAAGGTTAAGATGAACGAGAAAGCAATTGCTTGTAAAATCCATTCTATGAGATTATGTGGCATTATTTTGTTCTAGTTTATGAAATATTTACTTCATACAACCTAGGTCTGAATTCAACAATCAAAAGAATCACAGTACTGACACTTGGGCAGTGCGATCCTCCCCCTGGAAATTCTCCCCCCTTCCCCCACCCCTTGCAGGCCAGTAGTGAATTCGAATATCGCTTCATCTGGCAGTTGACGGATAATTTTTGTGCAAACTTCTACTTTAGGTTTTGTATAGATTAGGTTTTGCACTGACTGTGTTTTGTTTCTGTCTCTCCCCCTAGCCTGTGAAGGTAGCCAAGGGGATAGAGGATTCCCTTTTATATTGGGTTGTCAGAAAAGTTATGACATATTTTTCATAGGAAAACATGGAAAAATACATCATGACTTTTCCAACAACCAAATATTTACCTTTCTCTCAATGTTTCATAGGCCATGAGCAGAACCAAATAAGCTGTTAATAAATATTTGCTTAACTGATTAATCAACTTGCTTGCACATATGTGTACATGTTATTTTCTGCACACAAATTCTTTAAGTCCTTCATGTTTTATCACCATGGCTCTGTCTATAATGTCTACACAAGCTTCTGTTTTTTTTTTAGTTTGCCAGAAGGTGCATGCAGAGAGAGAGAGAGAGAGAGAGAAACAAAGCAAAAGAAAGGAGAAAACACCCCCAATGGGGTGGGATCACTCTGCCATTCCTTCTTCTTTATTTCTCCATCCTGTGAGGATTTGGGGCATATACACCTGGTGTGCTTTTCAAGCCTTCAGAACCAGGATTTGAATTACATGGTTAACCACGTGAGATCCAACTCCCTTAACCACTAGGCCACAGGGCCAGTCCATGCACAGGCTTTTTAAATTTTTTATTTAGATTCTTCCTATTTCCAAATATCCTTCAATGAGTTTCATCAATTGGTAGCACAAGTAATTTAAACAGATTGTGTAAATTATCATCTTCATTTTCTAGACCTAGATACTGAGTCACAGAGCAGTTGAACAATTTGCCTACAATCATATGTCATTCAGAATTCTGCAAACTCTCCTTCTCAGTAAACTAAATTGCCTCTTATATACAAATTGGTTTTACCCTCTTACCTACTGGAAAGTTGTTTACTTTTTCCTAGAGCATAATCAATCGGCTTTAGTACTAACACGCTTCTACTTCTCTTAAAAGCGTATTTATTTATTTTTCTTCTGGAGCGAGAGAGAGAGAAACAGAGAGAGACCTCCAATAGTATGAATGGTGTGACCTATCCTCCATTCCAGTAAACTCCTCCCCCCCATCATGGGCACATGCAGGCCTATCTGAATCTAGGGAGATCTCCAGACACAAACCTAGAACCTTCCCATGTGAGTCAGCCTCACAGAATGTCATATTTACCCACTGTGCCACAGTGTGTCCCCACAATCTCACTTTTTTAACTATTCTAATTTATTTTATACATTTAATCATTGTACATCACTACAGCTTTTAAAATGAATTACCCAACGTTGAGTACACTTCACACCAGTCCAGTTGAAGATATCATGCATGTTATCATCAGCAGACAATCCTCCATTTCTGTGTCCCCTAAATGTCTTCCCTCTCTAATTTTCTCCTTGATTCCTTTCTTCTCATTTTCCCTATCCACTTTTCCAAACAAGTTTATCAAAATCAGCTTGAGCAGGGACCAGCAGTTAGCGTAATGGCTATGTCGCTGGACTCCCACGTAGTTGACTGCGGTTCGCGTCCTGGACTCGGTGGCTTAAAACTCACGCAGGGCTCGTGTGCGTGTGTGCCCCAAATCCTTCGCAGAGAATGGAGGAGAAGGGATTGTGGCGTGGTCATCCCCCCTGGGGGGGGATTTCTTGCTTTCTGTTTCTCTCTCTGTGTCTTTCTGGTGAGCATACGCGCCCTATAGCAAAAAAACCTCTCCAAGAAAAAAAAAATCAGCTTGAGCAAGCTTTATACCTTTAAGGTACAAAAGCACACGATACAGCTGTGGGTAAACACTGGCTCAGGTTTGGCAGGATTTGGGAACAAAGAATATGTGGCCATTGGTAAGTCAAAATACCCTTACTTTTTTTTTTTTTTTTTGGAGAGGTTTTTGCTATAGCGCACGTGTGCTCGCCAGACAGAGAGAGACAGAGAAACAGAAAGTGAGAAATCACCTCCTGGGGGATGGCCATGCCGCAATCCCTTCTCTTCCATTCTCCTCTCAGGATCCTGGGAATGCATGCACACGCCCAGCGGGAGTTTAAGCCACCAAGTCTGAGATTTGAACCACGGAGTCCAGTGACACAGCCATTATGCCAACTACTGGTCCCAAAATATTCCCACTTTGTAAAGCCATGAAATGCCTCAGTCTCTCAGTCCAGCAGAGTCCATCCTCTTCTCCTTGGAGTGAGCATCAGGATGCCCTATGTTACATATTTCCCTCTTCATAGTTGCTCTTGCTCTTCATTTACTCATGTTCTACATATGAGATCAAAAGATACACATTTTAAAAGATTCACAATATAAAATGGGATTTGCCTTAATCTTTCCCTGTGGTGACTGGGAAAGTTAGTAGGTGATTTCACTAAAAGTGTTGGGGGCACTTGAGCAGATAGATGTGGATTCTGAAATTATCAACAGTTAATAATCCCTATCTTAAGGGGCTGAATGAAGTATTTATGATAATCATCATAACACATTTGTGAATCCAACCTCAACACTAGAGCTCACATTTCAACTGTGTGTGTGTGTATGTGCTGTTTTTTCTTCTTAATTTTTTTAAGAAAGATTTTTGCTATAGGGTGCATATGCTCCTTGGAGAGACAGAGAGAGACAGAGAGACAGAAATTGAGAATAACAACCGCCGCCACCCCCTCTCCCCCCGGGGGGAGTTGGCCACACTGCAATCCCTTCTCCTTCTTTCTCCTCTTGGGATCTTGGGATCTTGGGCACACATGCTTATGCATCCAGTGTGAGTTTTAAGCTGCTGGGTCCAGAACTTGAACCTCAGTCAATCATGTGAGAGTCCAGCGAAGTAACCATTATTTCATCTGCTGGTCACTCTTTTTAAAATTTTGCCAGAGGGTGCATTTGCTCACCAGAGAAAGAGAGACAGAACAAGACAGAGAGAAGTGAAAAAGCACTCCCCATGGAGATAATCATGCTGCAATTCCTTCTTCATCTCTTCCTCTTTTCAGGATTTTGAGCATAATCACACACCTGATCTGTGTGTTTCTCAAGCCTCTGTATCCAGACTTGAACTGTGTGGTCAGATGCCTTAATCTTAACAGGGCTGGCTCTGGTATAATGTTTTTGAGACAGAGTCTGACTGTTACAGTCCTTCTGCCTGAGCCTCTGAAGTGGCTGAGACCACAGACAGGCACTGCGATGCCCAGCCTTCAGGGTAGACCTAGAATCAAACCGAGGCCTCCTGTGCCTCCACCTGCTAAGCAGCCAAATCCAGCATGTGCTACTGCAGCTGAGTATCAAATCAAAACTTAGAAATAAATGAAGAAGCTATAACTTGAGGTAAAATATTCTATAGCTGTCTGTCAAGTCCATTTGATTTATGGTATCTTATCTCTGCTTATTTTTTATTTAGATGATCTGTTCAGAGACAATGGGGTGTTGAGATCCCCAACAGGCATTGTGTTACAGTTTATCTCTCCTTATAGATTTAATAGTCTCTCTTTCACGTACTTGGGTGCGCCAGTGTGTTGGGTGCATAGATATATGTGTTACATCTTCTTGGTGAACAAGTCGTTTTATTACTATATAGTGTCCTTCATCTCTTCTTTTATCTTTCATCTTAAAGTCTATTTGGTATATCAGTATCATGAGTCCAAAATCTTTTTGGTTTTCACATGCATGGAATATCCCTTTCCAGCCCTCCACCTTTAGTTTATGTGTCTTTATCAATGAGGTGTGTTTCACGTAAGCAGCATATAGAAGGATTCTGTCTCTTTTGTTTTGTTTTTGCTTTTGTTTTTATCCATTCAGTCAGTCCGTATCTTTTAACAGGAGAATTTAGGGGTCAGCAGGTGGCATAAGGCACTGAACTCCCATGGGATTGACCACAGTTCAATCCTGGATCCAGTAGCTTGAAACTCATGCCAGGCACATGTGCATGCAGGACTAAAATTCAAAGAGAAGAGTGGAAGAGAAGGCATCGTAGTGTGGCCATCCCCTCCATGGGGTGATTTCTCACCCTCTGTCTCTCCAATGAGCACAAATACATTATAGCAAAAATCTCTCAAAAAATATAGGTGAATTTAATCCATGAACATTCAACATTGTTATCAATATTTGTGGACTTAACACTGCCATCTTGTTAGTCATTTTCTTGGTTGTTTTTGGTTTTCTTATTTCTGTTCGTCTCTCTTAATTTTCCTAATATAATACTCCCTTCAGTACTTCTTGTAGAGCTGGTCTATTATTGATGAATTCTTTCAGTTTTTGTTTATCTGAGAGTAATTTTATTTGTGCTTCTCCTTTGGAGGATAATCTTGGCAGGTATAGTATTATTAGCTGAAATTGTCTTTAATTTTAATGTTTTGAATACATCTTCCCAGTCTTTCTTTGCCTGCATTGTTTCAGTTGAGAGGTCTGATATTAGCCTTATAGGATAATCTTTGTAAGTAACTTGGGATTTCTCTCTTGCCATTTTTAAAAAATTTATGTTTATTTTTAATTTGACCAGAGAGGGACAGAGTGAGAACGAGAAAGCAAGCCACCAGGTCTGGGACTTGAACCATAGTCAGCCATGTGGGAGTCCAGCACCCATAACCACCACACCACCTGCCAACCCCTGTCTCTTGCCATTTTTAGAATATCGTCTTTGTCTTTTATTTATTACTAATCTGGTTATGATGTGCCAGGGGAGGATCTTTTTATGTTGATTCTATTTGGAGCTCCTTTTATTTCTTGAGTATAAATTTCT